TTTATGGGAAAAAAAGAACAACTTTGGACATCAATACAGTTGAAGCAATGGCTAAGATTCGTCATTTTTATCAGAATAATTCCAAACTGATTTCTTCAGAAAAAACACATACCGATAATGAAGTCCAAAAGATGGTAAATGAATCTTTCTTTTTTGATGAAGTTGATTATAATGAAGATAATAATAATGAAGATGGCTATGAAGAAATATTTGAAACTCAAATACCAAATCATGAAGTTTATGTGCTTATTGAGGATAACGTTGATTTGACTAATGCAATATTTTTGAATAATGAAGAGGAGGAAGAAGATGAAATTTATAACTAAGAGTATTAGAATTTAGAAATCTAAATATTGCCATGATTATAAATTGTAAAATTGTGAATATTATATGCTGGCAATTGCCATATGTAGTATGAAATATGAATTATGAAATAAAATAAATTTGGTGTAAGAATTTTATTGTTTTTTATTGTTTAAGATGAAATTATACATAAAAATAAACAAAACTTTAAATAAATATTTTCGTTTGATTGTAAAAAATGTAATTTTGATTATCAAGATGTAGATTATAAGTTTTGGAAAATTTCGTATATTTTGGGTGAGTTTCGGTATTTCAGACTTGATTGATTTTTCCGAAACTGGTTTTACCATTTCGGTTTCGGCACATGATAAAACCTCCCAATTTTGGGCGGCACCATTATGCTCAATGATAACTTTTTGATTACCTAAAATTCTACATGATTATTTTGGCCATTGATTTTTGAACACCTAAATAATATATTTTGAAAATTTGAAGTTTCGCCCGTAAATCTGTGGCTTCGCCCGAAGCTTCAATGTTTCATTTTTATATTTTATTTAATTTCTCATCAAGTATTAATCCTAGAAATGCGATTTTACTACCATTAGATTCGTCATATTGAGACGATTCCAATGAACTATATTTCATTCTTTTCTGATCAGTGATCACTAGATCAAAAGTTAGCAAACTGCCTGATTTTTCACTTTTCGACCTGTGTCATAAACATTTGCTCAATGATAACTTTTTGATTACCTAAAATTCTACATGATTATTTTGGCCATTGATTCTTGAACACCTAAATAATATATTTTGAAAATTTTAAGTTTCGCCCGTAAATCT